CCTTTAAAAGAGAAAGCAGAGGCAATGGAATGGGTCTAGAAGCTTAGTGCATAAGCTAATCAACTCTCATTTCTCACCTGAATACCTTGACTCAGGTAGGGTTCCATGCTGCTGCTGCCAGATTGCTTCACATAAACAAGCTAAACTGTGTGGATAGCTTGACTATCTTGTAATTCTCTGTTGGCTGCAAGGCAGGCATATTCCTTATATAGATCTGAAGCAGCAGGTGGCTGAGCAAATAAAAGTGAAGGTCCAACACAGCACTGTTATCATGTTCTTCCTTACTTTTTTCTCTCACCAGAGAATATGCTGGTGGCATTTTATCAGACAACAATAGTGACATCACCATCATGCTGTAAATGGGAACTAACAACTTTTTCTTTTAATAATATCATCTAACGGTGAAATCCATTTGAATTGCTGAAAAAAGGGGGAAGAAATTTTTTCCAGCTGCAAAAACGCACAGATTTTAAATTTTATATTTCTTCTGTGCCAGGATTCTTCCTTAGGCTGAATTTTAACAGATGGACAAAACAGCAGAGGTATTTTTTTAAAAAAGAGTTAGACAAAACAAAGTATATTTCTCTTGTATCCAGTTGTGGTAATTTTTTTTTCTAATTTCCAGAATAACCAAGATTTTAAGGAAAAAATCACATTTGCTGAAGTGTTATTTGGCACGAAAGGAGCCCTCATCTTTCATCCAAATACACATTCAAATTCTTTCAGAGTCCAGAGTCAGGAATGGAACCCACTGTTCTGTTGCCAGGAAATATTTATTAAATCCACTAACAAAATGTCTCTTCTCTCTGTCTAGCAACAGTTCTACAGATGACATCAAGTTGGGCGGGAGTGACAATCTACTGGAAGGTAGGGAAGCTCTGCAGATGGATCTTGACAGGCTGGATCAATGGGCTGAGGCCAATGGAATGAGGTTCTAAAAGGCTAAGTGCTGGGTCCTGCCTTTGGATCACAACAACCCCAGGCAGTTCTACAGGCCAAGGACAGAGTGGCTGGAAAGTTGCCCAGTGGAAAAGGACTTGTGGGTGCTGGTTGACAACAGCTTAATATGAGCCAGCAGTGTGTTCAGGTGGACAAGAAGGCCAATGGTAACCTGGCCTGTATCAGCCATAGCATGGTCAGCAGGACCAGGGCAGTGACTGTCCTCCCGTACTGGGCAGTGGTGAGGCCACACCTCAAGTGCTGTGTCCAGTAATGGGCCCCTCACTGTGAGAAAGACATTGAGGGGCTGGATCTTGTCAGTGAAGGGCAATGGAGCTGGTGAAGGGTCTGAAGCACAAGTCTGGTAAGGAGCGACTGAGGGAGCTGTGGGTACTTAGCCTAGAGAAAAGGATGCTCTGGAGAGACTGTATCACTCTACAACTACTTGAAAGGAGGTTGTAGACAGGAGAGGGATGGGTAGTCTCTTCTCCCATGCAATTAGCAATAGGACGAGAGGACATAAGCTCAAATTATGCCAGTGGAGGCTTAGGTTGAACATTAGGAAACATTTCTTCATGGAAAATGTTATCATGCACCGTAGCAGGCTGCTCAGGGAAGTGGCAGAGTCACTATGTAGATGTGTAGATGTGACCAGACGCAGTCTAGGGACATTGCCTAGTGAGACTTGGCAATGTAAGGTTAACAGTTGGATTCGATGATCTTAGAGGCCTTTACCAACCTAAATGATTCTGTGATTCTAAGTCTATGTAGGAGTTCCCTCCCCTTCCTTAGCCAGAGATGTTTAATGATGGACTAGCACTTTGAGAGTTACAGATGACTGTAACTGTGAGGCAAAGAAAGGAAAGGTGCTTGACTGGAAATAATAGTAAAGAATATTTAACACTATAAAACAACTGTTTTATTCAAGCATTAATTTTAAAATTAGGGAGTGCATAACGTCTCCCATCCTCCTCTGGTTTTTCTTAGTAGAATATGTGCCATAGTTTTCAAAGTACAAAGGAGTACCTAAGTCCATCATATTCAAACAGATTCTCACTGACAAATTCTTAGTAGTAAATATTTATGGTTTTAAGAGAGTAGCTCATGTACTTTAATTATAGGCAATTTTTTAAACATATACATATGAATAAACTCACGTCTACACTAAACACATCTCAAAATGTTCAACATACAAAGACTATAAATGTTGGAATAGCATATTTTAAAGAATTACAGACTGCTTATTGTGACTTTTAGAATCCATATTTCCTGCAAACTGTATGATGATCTAGGAAGCCTCTCTCTCATGCAAACATAGATAAGCATCTCAGTGATACATGGACTAAAAAAATTCTGTTAAGCTTATCATACTTAGAAGAATAAAACTCTGAACATAAAATATCAATTGCATCATGGTTTTCACTTCAGTGTTTCAATGCATAGAAGGGATCCATCTCAAACATCTAATAATATTTTAAATGGAGAAAGATAGATATGCATAGCACTTTGGAGACTTTCATATTCATGTTAAATAGAAAGCACTCCAATACAGCAGTATTAGCAGCAGACAACTAAAAGAATGTTTACTGAATAGCCACTATGAATGAAGATAGATTACAAAGGTACCTAGGTTGCCAAAAATACAGATTTCAAAATTAAAATCTACCAAAACACTAACTTACAGAATGTTAACCAGGAAGTGATTCTTCACAAAAGTGACATGCAGAGACTGAACTAGTAGATCACCTACAAGATACCAAAAGTGCTGGGATTATCATTTGATTAAAACTATTCGACTTTATCAGTTTTGTAATTATACTAGAGTAAAAGCCTCATTCTTTTGTGGACATAAAATGAGAACAGCACAAGAAGAATCTATTATAGTCCCTGCCAGAAAGGCTGTACTTCTTAAAGACAAGAAAAAAGGTGAGATAACTGCCCCCCCCTTTAAGTTTAGGGTTTTATAGGTCAGAAGCAAAATGATTCATACTCTGCAATTTGTCACTTAGTGTATAAAGAATGTTATTCAAGCAGTTCAGAAAAACAAGTTTCAGATACAGAGCTTTCCAGATCTCTTTTCTATTGCTTCTGCAAAATATAAACATATCACAAGCAGATCGGAAGAGAAGGTAGTCGTAGTTGTTGTTGAAGAAGTAGCTGTGTTGTAGAGCCATGAGGAGAAGGGGCAGGAGCCCCTTGGGAGGCTCTGAGCACCTCCAGCACCGGCTGGGGGGCTACAGGGACTTGGAACAGTTTAAGACTGGGCTAAGTACCTGTATTTAGAAAACTGGGGGATGTTTCTCCACCGTCAGCAGCAGCAGCAGCAGTGACAAAACCAACACTGGCCGGAGAAAGTGGCGGAGAGCCAAGAGATAAGGGAGAAGCAGCAGAAACAAACATGCAGCCAAGCAGGAAGACACAGAGTTGTCTGAGAGACGAGAGCCAGCAACAGAGAGAGAACTAAGCTCTGCAGAGACAGAGTTTTGGGGTAAGAACTGAACTAAGAACCCCCAAAATCCTTGGAGACCCCTCCTACAGGGAGGGGTGAAGTGCAGCACCACTGTAGAGAGGAGCTGAGAAGCTCAGGCGTCCTAGAAGCTGGACCAAGATGGCCAAAGGAATGCAGAGGAGGGCCTTTGCCCCCCTGCTGCTTTGAGTCAGAGCACGGGAGCTCTGCAAAGGGGGCTTGAATCCCCTGAAGATACAGACCATCACGAAGACCCCTGAGCTTTGTTGATATGACCGTAGTGAAGTGACCTTTGTCCGGGTGAACGGAAGAGAAGACCCTCGCTAGGAGACGAAGGGCCACAAGGGCTTGGATACCCCCCCTCGTGTGTACTGGCAGAGATCCAGCTACAGTGGCTGCATGGAAGAGAGAGAGAACCTGCTGCCCTAGAGACATTGCTGCTCTGAGAGTGGAAAGGATTTTTTCCTTCTTCCCTCCTGGACTTTTATTTGGAAGGGAGAAGAGATTTGATCCATTGTAAATACTTTTTATGTCATGGTAGAGATAGTTAAGATTGTATATAATGTATTGTAGTATTTATTTTCTACAGTCATTGTAATATATAATCCCTTTCCCCCATTTTGAGTCTTGTGTGGTGTCTGGAAAACCCATCTTACACTGGGTTGAGATGTGGGAGGGGGGCTTGGACTAGGGAATTGGATTTTGGAGCTCTCAAAATTGCAAGATGCTTAGTTTGTGGCCACTTGAGCCACAAAAATACTTAGGACAAATAGTAGTCAAATATGCACAAATTTCTTCTACATAGAAATAAAATTATAAAAATCTAATATTTGATAACAATAATTAAAATATCAGTTTTACTAAGAGATATGTACCTGTGGGGTTTATACATTTGCTGTGTTTGAGAAGCATGGGGAGAATTATATGTGTTACATATAATGAAAGTTCTCTTAAATTGTACAGTAACAATTTTGACGTAATAAACTAATGCCAGATCTATACAATGGCACGTGGTGGTTTGAACTGCCCAGCTCCTGGGGCTGGAAATGGTTAATTTCAAAGTGGTTCTTCTGATACAGAGCCAATCAGAAGTTGTAATTCACCTTTTCGAAATTAGCATATTACACAAGCCGGAAGGGAACCTGTTGGCGTAGTTGGAAAATCAGGCAGCCATGTAAGTGCAAAGGGGAGTCCCCCCACCGAATCTGGGGAGTTTTTTGCCGTTTTCCCCACACACACTGCCAGTGGGGGTGGTGGCACAGCCTTGAGCAGCCAGCCGGGGCTGGAGCTGGATCCATGGCAGGCAGGCACTGCACTGGAGCAAGAGAGAAACTCCCCAGGAGCTTTCCAGCCGGCCTTACCGCCTTCCCCCACTGCAGGGGGAGGAGTGGTGAGGAGCTGGCTGGCCCTGCAGCAGGCACAGAGTAGCCTGGGATGGGCTAGAGAGGCAGCTGTGATGCCGGTGTGTTGGCGGTGGCCCGGGGCCATCCCTGCAAGGAAGTGGCAACAGCAACGCACAGCACAGAGCAGAGTGGGCCTAGAATATGGCATAGAGCTAAACTGGTTTTACTGGGAAGAGACTCTAATAAAATTTCGGAGTATATAAAAGATTGAGCAAAATCTAGAAATATCCTGCAACCTGGGGGGGAAGAATGGATCCAGTGTGGAGGAGTCTTTGAACCTTACCCCTTGGGAGGAATTGCACAGGACAGTAAAAAAAGTCTCGAAAGCTTTAATTCCTTTGTGTCATGGTTTGAGAGCCCCAAAATCCAATTCCCTAGTCCAAACTCCCTCCCACATCTCAACCCAGTGTAAGATGGGTTTTCCAGACACCACACAAGACTCAAAATGGGGGAAAGGGATTATATATTACAATGACTGTAGAAAATAAATACTACAATACATTATATACAATCTTAACTATCTCTACCATGACATAAAAAGTATTTACAATGGATCAAATCTCTTCTCCCCTCCAAATAAAAGTCCAGGAGGGAAGAAGGAAAAGATCCTTTCCACTCTCAGAGCAGCAATGTCTCTAGGGCAGCAGGTTCTCTCTCTCTTCCATGCAGCCACTGTAGCTGGATCTTTGCCAGTACACACGAGGGGGGGTATCCAAGCCCCTTGGTCCATCATCTCCAAGCGAGGGTCTTCTCTTCTGTGGGCTGTGTTCACCCAGACAAAGGTCACGTCACCATGGTCATATCAACGAAGTACAGAAGCCTTCATGACGGTCTGTATCTTCAGGGGATTCAAGCCCTCTTTGCAGAGCTCCCGTGCTCTGTCTCAAGCAGTGGGGGGCCAAGGTCACCCCCTCCACATTCCTTCTCTGAGTTTTTCATCTCCCTTCTGCAGTGCTGTAGCATTCCAAGACTAAAAGTCCGTCATCCTTCTCTATCTAGGAGGTCTCAGAGGAGTTTGGGGTCTTTTGGTTCAGTTCTTACCCCAAAACTCTATCTCTGTCTGTAGAGCTTAGTTCTGCTCTCTCTGCTGCTGGCTCTATTTCTCTTTCTCTCTCTCCTTCCAGGAGTTCTCTCTGTGTTGCTGCATGCCTGTCGTTGCTGCTTGGTCTTATCTCTTCTCGTTCTCTGCCACTTTCTCCATCCACTGCTGTTCTGCCGCTGCTTTTCAGTATCTCTTGCTGCGGCTCACAGTGGAGAAACATCCCCTGGCTCAGCTACAGACACATAGTCCAGCTTAACACTGTTCCAAGTCCCTGTAGCCCCCCAGCTAGGGCTGGGGGGGCTCAGAGCCCCCAAGGGGCTCCTGCCCCTTCTCCTCGTGGCTCTACAACATGGCCACCTCTTCAACAACAACTACAACTACCTTCTCTTCTGGTCTGCTTCTGATATGTTTATATTTTGCAGAAGCGCTCATTGGCTCAAACTCCAAGGGTCACCACCCCCTGGGGATTTACCATTTTATAACTTCAGGGGGAAAACTGTTTCCCCCCACCACACTTGGTTGTGGTGAAGAGACCTGGTGAGACAAGAGTTTCCTCGAAGCCCAGGAGGAGCTGCTCAATGGAGGTCGAGCAGTTGGTGGGCGTGCAGCCCGACCCCCAAAACCCCAATTGTGAGAGAGAGAGACTTTAATTATCACCCTGAAAACTCTCCTGAACTGATGTGGGAGGGTCCAGGGCTGGTAGAAATTGTGTTAATGCTGTGTGTTTATTTATTCTTTAGTTTAAGTGTCTTTAGTTATAGTTTTACTGACATATATATACATATATATACATATTATATATATATATATGTATATATGTATTATAATATTTATTATGTTAGTAATTTTAATATAATTCCCTTCCCCCATACTGAGTTGTGTCTTCTCTCACTCTTGAACAAATCTGTGGGGAATCTGGAAATCAATTTCAAGTCTCAAACCACCACATGCCACCAATGAAATAGAATATTTCCAGATTCTCCTATTGTAGAAAGAATCACAGAATCATAGAATGAACCAGGTTGGAAAAGACCTCCAAGATCATCAAGTCCAACCCTTGATCCAACACCACCGTGGTTACTAGACCATGGCACTAAGTGCCACATCCAGTCTCTTCTTAAAAACCTACAGGGATGGTGAATCTGCCACCTCCCTGGGCAGCCCATTCCAATGCCTGATTACTCTCTCTGTAAAAAAATTCTTCCTAATATCTAACCTGAACCTCCCCTGGCAGAGCTTAAGACTCTGCCCTCTTGTCTTACTGCTGGTTGCCTGGGAGAAGAGACCAACCCCCACCTGGTTACAACCTCCTTTCAGGGGTTGAGAGTAAAGAGTGATGAGGTCTTCCTTGAGCCTCCTCTTCTCCAGGCTGAACAACCCCAGCTCCCTCAGCCTCTCCTCACAGGACTTGTGCTCAAGTCCCTTCACCAGCCTTGTTGCTCTTCTCTGGACCTGCTCCAGCACCTCAATATCCTTCCTGAACTGAGGGGCCCAGAATTGGTCACAGTACTCCAGGTGTGGCCTCTCCAGCACTGAGTACAGAGGAAGAATCACTTCCCTGCTCCTGCTGGCCACACTGTTCCTGATCCAGGCCAGGATGCCATTGGCCTTCTTGGCCACCTGGGCACGCTGCTGACTCATGTTCAGCTTCCTGTCAATCCAAACTCCCAGGTCCCTTTCTGCCTGGCTGCTCTCCAGCCACTCTGTCCCCAGCCTGTAGCTCTGCATGGGGTTGTTGTGGCCAAAGTGTAGGACCTGGCACTTGGCCTTGTTGAAGCTCATCCTGTTGGAATCAGCCCAACTCTCCAGTCTGTCCAGGTCCCTCTGCAGAGTTCTCCTGCCTTCCAGCTGATCAACACTCCCCCCCAATTTGGTGTCATCTGTAATTTTGCTAATGGTACACTTGATCCCCTCATCCAGATCATCAATAAAGATATTAAAGAGAAGTGGGCCCGACACTGATCCCTGGGGGACACCACTAATGACCAGCTGCCAACTGGATGCAACACCGTTCACCACCACTCTCTGGGCCCAGCCCTCCAGCCAGTTCCTAACCCAGCACAGAGTGCCCCTGTCCAAGCCGTGGGCTGTCAGCTTTTCCAGAGAATGCAATGGGTGTTGGTGTCAAAGGCTTTGCTGAAGTCCTGATAGACCACATCCACCGCCTTCCTGCCATCCACCAGGTGAGTCACCTGATCATAAAAGGAGATCAGGTTGGTCAGATGGGTCCTGCCCTTCTGTCAGTGGAGGGGCACCGAACAGATTACTCACAGGCCAATTTGGTCGGCAAAATGCCGGTTTATTACAACAAGAACACTCATTATATACTGCTGCTACACTCGGATGCGTGATTCTTCTTCACGCAGCATTGGATACATAAGAGAAACATACTTTGTTGTCCACTGCTAATTGGACCACAACAGGTGTCCATATGAGCAGAGGGCATACGTTCACCCTCTTGAAACTTCACCTTAACCTTGGCAGGGAGCCTTCTTTGTCCTAACTTCAAAGGCTGAAGCCATATTAGCTATTAGTTCTTTTACTGTCTGCACCCAGCCATGCCAAGGCAAGGCTTACAGAAATGCAAGGGGAATTGTTCACACACAATCTCTATTCTCCCAAAACCCTTCCTAAGTCTGTGCTGGCTGGGTCTGATCCCTTGTCCATCCTGTACGTGCTGTGTGATCTCACTTAGGATGATCTGCTCCATAACCTTGCCAGGCACTGAGGTCAGGCTGACAGGTCTGTAGTTTCCCGAGTCCTCCTTCTGGTCCTTTTTGTGGATCGGCATGACATTCGCCAACTTCCAATCATCTGGGACCTCCCCAGTGAGCCAGGACTGCTGGAAAATGATAGAGAGTGGCTTGATGAGCTCTTCTGCCAGTTCCCTCATTACCCTTGAGTGGATCCCATCTGGTCCCGTAGACTTGTGAGGATCCAAGTGGCTCAGTAGGTCACTAACTGTTCCCTCCTGGATTAAAGGGGGGTTATTCGGCTTCCTGTCTCTGTCTATCAGCTCCAGAGGCCAGTTGCCCTGAGGACAACCTGTCTTACTGTTGAAAATTGAGGCAAAGAAGGTGTTAAATACCTCAGCCTTTTCCTCATCTTTGGTGACTATGTTCCCCCCCATGTCCAATGAAGAATGGAGGTTTTCCTTGCCCCTCCTTTTGCTATTGATATATCTGTAAAAGCACTTCTTGTTATCCTTAACAGAAGTGGCAAGATTGAGTTCAAATTGTGCCTTTGTCTCTCTACTTTTCTTTCTATATAACCTAATTACATTCCTAAACTCTTCACGAGTAGCTAGTCCTTTTTTCCACAGTCGGTAAGCTCTCTTTTCCCCCCTAATCTCCCTCAAAATCTCCCTGTTCAGTCAGGTCAGTTGTCTTCCCTGCTGGCTCGCCTTTCAGCACACTGGGACAGCCTGCTCCTGTGTGTTCAAGACTTCCTTCTTGAATCATGTCCATCCCTCCTGGACCCCTTTGTTTTCCAGGATTGTTTCCCAAGGTACCCACTGAACCAGTCTGATGAGTAGGCCAAAATCTGCCCTCTGGAAGTCCAGGGTAGAAGTTTTATTGAGGGCCCTCTTTGCATCTCTGAGTATTGAAAACTCTATTATTTCATGGTTACTGTGCCCCAGATGGTCTCCAACCATCACATCTCCCACCAGCCCCTCTCTGTTTGTGAACAGCAGGTCTAGCAGGGCCCCATTCCTGGTAGGCTCATTTACCAGCTGGAGCAGGAAAAAAGAGGGGAAGCCAGGCAAGGTTGGTCATTCTGGTAGGTCTACAGTTCATGCAGGATAAACTCTGACAAATGAGACATTAAATACAAGTGAAAACAAGTTTCATAAAAGAAGAAATAAGATGAAGGATCATCACCATTAATTCAATCTTCACCACTTCTCCAATTAAAGAAATGTACATCAGAATCTGCTCATTGCAGCTGTAAATGTCTCCATTTCAGCGTTCTGATTTACTCCATTACAGCTCTATTTTTTCCCCTGTACAGGACTAGTTGTTGCTCTCCTAGAGATCATTCAGGTCAAGGACTGAATGCAAAAGTCCTCTGAAACAAGATGTGAAGAGGTGGGAAAAACTCTAAGGTTTCAACGTTTACATGACATATGGAAAGTGTCAGTTCCACTGTTGCTGATGCAGTAAACTGTGTGAGTACGTGGAAAAGCACTGTGTGCATTAACCTTTTCATCCCTTGCCTTTACAGGCTTCTGTCAAATATCATGTGAGTTAATTCTTTCAGAAAGCTGCAAAACAGTAACAATTTCTTACTTTTTAATTATCATTTGGTGACAGATATTGGATGAGGGAAGGAGGCGGACATCATCTGGGGATAAAACACTAAGAGGTTTTTGTCTGTCAGCAGCTGTGCATGAGCCATTAGCAGCTGCGCACACACTCTTCACTGTTTTAGGATAAAATCCTACAGAAAAGTATCACTCCAGATGGGGAAGGTTTATGTATGTCAGTCCTCAACCAATCACGCTGTGAGCATAGTCCTTCCTATGCTGGTCACTGCTCAGCCTCCAGTAATCCATCCTGGTGCATCTATACTAGTTATCTTCTTCCACTCTTGCATGATGGTAACATCTTCCACTCTAAAGACATTAACATCATCAGAACCTTGTGTGTTTGAGTGCACTAGGCATAAACATTCTGTTACAGCTGGAATTGCCAAGGAAAGTCCTCAGATCCCATTTTGAAATACAGCTCCCCAATGCACCTGATCTGCACTGTGGTGTGCTGATTTGCACATCTGTTTCTCTCTTAGGTTTAAGCATCTGTTGTGTAAAGGACAAAGTATGTAAAATGATGTGAAAAATACCATTAAAAATACCAGAGTCAAGATTGTGAGACTTTACAAATTCTTTTCTACTATACTTTCAATGTGCAAAATGAAAAGTGTGTTGATAATGTGTGAAAAAAAACCCTATGCCAAAACTATTTCAAATGAAAGCACAGGACCTACATGTCTATGCTCTAATATATCTTTATGCTTTTGCAGGTACACACAATATATAGCTCCTGTGATAACAAGATATTGATTCTCCATCATTCTGTAACCCAAACAAACACACATATTTAGGGATAAATATCAGCATCTTGCATTTTTCAGAGCAAAGATCAAGGCCTTCCTCCTCACTCATGGTTTGTAAACAGCTGCTTACCACTGTCAGAAATGTTCTCTCAGCTCCTACCTCACCCCACACTCCCCGAATACAATCCCCAATTGTTAGGACAACATGTGTAGCCATACCAGAGACAATGCATATTCTATTTTCTTAGAGTGTATGTAGAGTATTGGGAGCTACAACTACCTTCTGTTTCCTTTCTGACCAACAGCTTTCCTCTGCCTCCTAGAGGCTTCTAAACTATAACTTACGTACTTAAATGTCAGATGGAACGAACTGGAAGTGGATTCCAGTTTCCTGTTGACACAAAAAGTAAGTCCAAACGACCTCTTGGCATACGTGAAATGGTTGTCTTCGCAGTCGGGTACACCTGCCATTTCACGCATTTCAGGAAGACAGGCAGGTGCCTGTGGCAGCACAGCCCTTCCGGTGGGAATTGCATCCCTGTGTGCTCCAGCCGTGCTCGCAGCATCTCACATGTTGTGTGTCCCTGCGCTCATGCGCTCGGCCCCGTGTTTTCAGTCAGCATTAAGACTCAGGGACAAGGAAAAGCCGCTTGGCAGGAGTGCCTAACCGGAGTGATGTGTTTTGTTTGTGAAAACTAATGCCACTCAATACCTGGCCTTCCCTCCTCACTTACATCCCAGAGATGCTCCCTTGCGTTGGGCACACACTGACTGTTAGCAAATGAACTTAAAAAGCCTCTGTGACCTCCAGCGCCAACACTGGACCCCGGGGCCAGGCAGACCCCTACCTTTTACCCTCTCCCAATTTGCCTGCTCCCTGAAGAGCAACGGAGGTTTCCCAAGGGACAGGAGAGCCCGTGGAACCTCCCCACCGCATCACTCTCAGCCCGCTGAGGCTGTGCAGGCTCCCACCCCACGCCTCTCCCCTTGCTTCGCCCAAAGTGAAGCATCCACCCACGCGCGCTCCTGCCTTTCTGCGCAAGGCGCAGTCAGGGCCGGCAGAGGATCCCCCCTCCTCCTCTCCCCTCCCCACAGGCTGCCGGCTCCTCCCCTGCTCTCCCTCCCTCCCCGCCGCGGGCGCCGCGGCCCCTCAAGGACTCGGGGGCTCTCAATGTCAGGCGGGCGGACGGCGCGGCCGCCGGCAGGGGGCGGGCACGGGGCGGCGGTGCCCGCCCTGAGCGGAGCGCGGCTCGGGCCGGCGGCGCTGCTGCTGCCGGGCGGCGCGGAGCTCAGCCCAGCCCAGCCCAGCCCGCCCCAGCCCAGCCCAGCCCAGTCCAGTCCAGCCCAACCCACTCCAGCCCAGGGCGGCCGAGCCCAGCCGCGCCGCTGAAGGGCACCGGCGGCGACGAGGCTTCCTCGCGGTCTCCCGCGGCTGGGGCGCGCCCCCCCCGCAGCATGGAGGCTGGGAAGCGCAGCTCCTCCGCCGGCAGCCGGGACGATGGCAGCGCTAACTCCTTCCCAGCCAAGCCGGCGGCTCCGGCGGAGAAAGCCCAGAGCAGCCCCGGCAGCGGCGGCGTGAAGGAGCATGGCAACTCGGTGTGCTTCAAAGTGGACGGCGGCGGGGGCGAGGAGCCCGTGGTGGGCTTCGAGGATGCCGAGGGACCCCGGCGGCAGTACGGCTTCATGCAGCGGCAGTTCACCTCCATGCTGCAGCCGGGGGTCAACAAATTCTCCCTCCGCATGTTCGGGAGCCAGAAGGCGGTCGAGAAGGAGCAGGAAAGGGTTAAAACTGCGGGGTTCTGGATCATCCACCCCTACAGCGACTTCAGGTGAGCGCGGGGCTCACGGCGGGCGGGAGCGGGGTGGCCCCGCCGCCTCGCACCTCGTCCGGCGCGAACTTCGGCGGGCGCCGGACCGGGCGGTGGGGCAGGGGCTGCGACCCGTGCTGGGACGGCCGCGGTCTCGGCCCGGCGCTCTCCAGAGTGCTGCACCCGGGACGGCCCCGCAGGCCCCGCACCCGCCGGGGCGCCGCCCGCAGCCCCTGAGGAAGGATGGAGAGCTTCATGGCCCTCTGTCCTGCCGTGCCGGTCTGTCTGCCCCGCGGGACCGCGGTCCGTCGGGCACGGCTCTGCCCTAGAGTGTGAGAGCTCACCAGGGGGTTACACAGCTGCATCAGCATCAGTAAAATCCCTGGGTGTCTGCACGCGGCTGCCCTTCCCTGAGCACCGGGCATAAACACTTGTTCCAGGGGTTGCCTGAGGGAAGCGCATCTTATTCAGAGTTAAATCAATCAGAGTAAAATAAGTTCATCCGGGTGATGTGTGGGAAACTATGTTTTTGTAGGGAGGCAGGTAAATGTGATGCCGAATTAGCATTGCTTTTATAGTAAGCTGAATGAATGCAGGATGGGAACAGTCATGCAGAAAGCAGGACAGATAATTTCCCAAGAAGTTATATTCCCTTTAGAATTACATTTTTAAGTGTAGGATTGTTTAATTGCATTCTCCATGCCAGCTGGCTGTATGCCTTTGTAAATGTAACATTCTCTATGATATTTGCTGAGGAACTATTGGTGTCATTAAGCGAATTTAATCAACAGCTTGCATTGAACAACCTACGTCTATACAATAAGTGAATTGCACTGGAGACTATGTTTAATGAAGGAAAATCCAGAATGTTCAATAGTTACACGGATCTTGTAAGAAAAACTGAGCTAAATAGAACATGCTTCCAGTGGAAACAGAAGGAAATACTTTCAAAGTTCAAATTTCTGTGGGACTATTTGGAGTGAGGTGTTGTACAGTGAGCCATGTTAGCACCTTGCAGTTGAGCCCGAGAGCAGTACAACTACAGGAGCGAAGGAGCGTGGCAGCACTGTTATGACTTGGAATTATGCTTCAAATCCCTGCTTGTCTTCCTGGTTCCCAGAAGGCAATAAACTGCACTCGTTCTTTTCCTGAAGTACCTTTTCCCCCCTTTCATGCCAGCTCAGCTGCACTAGCAGGTGCATTTAAGGGGGGAGAGAGCCACTCACCCACCCACGTCCTTTCTACCAACCAGAGAGGGGACATAGCAGGTCACATCTGGTGCTGTGGTAGAATGCATAGGGGATTAGGAGGGTCTGATAGCCTCTTACTTACCCGTGTGTGTGCATGAGTAACTTTATTCATATGAGAATTCTGTTAAGATGAATGAGTTTGTTCTTTTGAGTAATTTCCCTTGTTTTGTTGTAAGCTCTGTTTCTGAGCGAGTTGCACATCCAGACAACGTTTTGTGCGATAGGAACTTATTTGTCATATTTTGCAGCACATAACTTTTTAAGGTATTGTGTGAAATAAGTGGTGTTTTTACAGAAATATCTTCTAATTCTGTCCTAATTCTTCCAGTGGGAAGATTTAGAGATTGTAGCATATGTTTGCCTATTTTTTTCGATAGGAGTAAACAACTCTGCATCCGTTTCAGGGCTGTTGTCTGAATAGTCTTGAATCAGCTCTATTTTCTGGTGATTTTATGATGTTTTTATTTGTTTTTTAGAATGGAACTGTTTGGTTTTTAAATAAAGTTATAGTCTTTCATTCATGTTTGGATGGTGTGGCCTGCTCCAGACCCAGTTTTTTAGCTAGTAGGACAGTCTTGGTGAGGAATATGAGATGTTTTTGTTTCTTTTCTCCTAAAATACTTGCTACTGTATAATGATACAATTCTTTTTGGGTGGCAGTGTGAAATGTGTGAGGAGTTGCCCTATATAGTATATTCACCATCTTATTTGGGAATTATGACAATGCTAGTAAGTGCCTCCTAGCAGTATCTCTGTACCAGAATAAATGTGTATGTACCATGGAGTGGTCTTAATTTATGTTTTGCATGTTAATTTGTAACAATTTAATGCTGGTGTGTAGACCAGCCTTAAAACATCGAAAGAAGCAGGGATATTCCAGTGCCACTGTATTGATATTGATACCATCAGGAGAAAGAACTAGATTTTCTACCCAAATAACAAGGAAAAGGTAGAAAACTGAATATTTTATGGTATCCAAGTGAGAAGATGTAGACTGCGTTTGTAAATGCAGCTATTATTAGGGTTTTTGTGGCACATATGAGAACAGACATCCTAGTAAACTTAAAGTATAGACACACTTAGGAGAATATTGGGTTAACCATGTAAAACGTGAGAAAATTCTGGTACCGGCTCCTGCAGACTTGTTTTGGTTTTTTTTCCTCCTAGTTCTGGATGCTTGTGTGCATTTCCTTGAAGAGTTTGATGCATTTGGCTATATCTGTTTACCTAATTCTTTTTTTTTTTTTTTAATAAAAATAGTATATTTTCCTACACCAAGCAGGATTTTGTTGTGACGTTTGGAGAAGTGGATAGCATCCCTGCACCATCTTCTCCCGTTTTTTGGTATGAACAAAGTGTGGAAGCTGTGTCTCTAAATTTGGTGCTCTGTAAATTGGTTACCTCCATCCTTGTAGGACTTTGTCTTTAGTTTTATGGCTCTCTATCCTGCCTATGTTTCATATGTCTCTTCATCAGGCAGATACACCCTTGGAGTATTAAATTCAATAAGTATTACATAATTTTTCCATAAGGGGACCATTTTGTTCCTGGTTGTCTTTTTCTAGGCTTCTGAGGTTAATGTGTGATTTGGAAGTTGTTGTGTAAACCAAACACCTAATGCACATCAAACCCAGCACAAGGCCTCCATTTATCTCCTTGCAGCTGTGGTTGCTGTGTCTCTGAACTTGGACAACAAGTCTGTGTAATTGCATGACTCACAAAAATAAATTTATCAGTCAGAGTTTACTGAAGTTCTGTAAGATGCTGAGTGCCTCCGTCCATCTGTTCTCATGTGTGGAAGAACGAGCCCGCAGGAGGGATCACTGGTCCAGCCCTGTGGCCTTGCAGCCACCAGGTGAAAGCAGCACAAAGCCAGCAGGAGATGGGAGCAACTGCACACGGTTCTCCTGCTGCCACACATTTCACTTGTTTCATAGCAGGGTTGTGGTGAACATGGGCATGTGGTGACTTTTATGTGTTATGGCCTTTTGGTGTTAATGGAAATGTATGTAGCTGACTTTTCAAATGATTAATTATTCAGTGTCCTTTGGCACGTCAGGAGTTTCTTTAATGCTCAGAGGGCTTGCTTGCATGTGCCTGGGCTGTTCGTCCAGCCCTATATTGTCTCCCTCCCTCCCGGCCTGTGGGTGTGTGGAGAAACTCCCACTGTCATGGAAATCTTGAGTTTATCACCATGTCGGCAACAGCATCTGTAGACAGCAATCTATAAAGAAAGCAGAATTACTGCCGGAGTGGCATCTTTTGACCAGAAATAGCAATGTACGAGACAGACTGAGTGGAAATAATATGTGTATGCCTAAATGTAGCCTTCACACTCTGATGGTTACGGTATTCAGCTTGATGTTTGATAGCAGCCTTTGTCTGCAACTGGGGACAAAAATTATGATTGGCTTCAAGATGAAGTGAAGTAAGACTGTGTTGTGATGTTGTCTGTCAGAGTTGTAGTGGAGGCAGTGCTGAAGGTCTTTTTTCAGGTGTACATGAATACAAAGTATGAACTGATCTGCAACAATTAAGATAAAACTATCGACATTTTATCTTGGGGTAGCTTCACATATGTCCAAGAAACTCAAAGCCTTATTTTAATGATAGCATTAAAAAAAAAAAAAAGCAGAGTTAATTCCAAAATTTGAACGGAAAATTTCAGAGCACTGTGAATACTAAAGGTATACAATATTTATTTTAGCTTGTGTGCCATCCCAGTTTCAAAATTTTTGTATACAGATTTGAGGGATCATGTAAATGCTTGAGGTTTATCATATAAATCTTTATAAGTTATAGAAAGCTCTGTTAGTAATACCTTGTGAGTAATTTAATGCCAGGTTTCAATAGGTTTTAATCAGGGTGAAAGACACAGTAATGTTTGCATGTGTATGTCTAACTAGTTACCAAAGACTATTTTTACATCTGTTGCTATTAAAAAACATTGCTGTATTCTGCAGTTTTATGCAACCCATCCATGTTGTCCTCCATAAATTCGCAAGTAAGTGTATGCCAAACTGTAAGTCACAATTACCACGTATTAGTGCACCTCATGTGGTTTTGTTTGTTTGTTTTTGTTTGGTTGGTTGGTTTGGGTCTTTAAATTATAGTTTTGGGGGTTTTTTAACATTTGAACTTACATTTACTTTATGAATCAATTTTCTTTTTAATTTTCACCTATCTTTTGGACCTGTCTGATCACCAGTAATCACCCTAACTTGGTAGACTGTGCAGCTCACAGTCATATTCTAAAGTTTGTGCATTGGTTTAAAACCTATTCTTCTTCAGGCCCAGTCTTCACTCTGCATGTTATACCTAGCATTTGCATTTTAAGAAGCTTAGGGTAAGCACTTTGTCCTTTTCTTTTGTCACGTCTCTAATGTCTCTTTTGAAGCTAATGAGATTTATCTTTTTGTGAGCTGTTACATGCTTAGGTTTACATAGAGCAAGAGTTGGAAGGTAATACTATATGCGATGTAGACAATGTATTATATCATACTTAAATGTAATTGATAGAGATATATGTATGCAAAATGAAGTATATAAATCATGTTAGTTTATATTAAATAGAGCAGATACAAATTAGTGTAGGTTTTAATGGATACATTATGTCACTGGTAGTGTAGGAGTATGAAATGTCTATAATTTTGGATTCCTAAGGTAGTCATTTAATTCTTACTACTCAGGATTTGTCGTGAGATTGTTCTGCAGTATTGAGATTTTTGAATTATTTGCTAATAAACTGATAATCATGGATTTTTAGTTATA